ACTGTACGTGCAACTTTCATTGCATACGGCTCTGCAAGGAAATCTTTTTTTTTTTTTTTTTTTTTTTTTTTTAGCGCCTTCCCTTTTTTCGAATCCTTTGATAGGGAAATCCAATCATACCCCCCTGGCCCCGGAAGCAAACTGAAAACCAACTCGGGATATGTACACCTGCATGTGGGTCTTTCGTGAACGTCAATGAATGTGCATGGGCAACTCTTTTTTTTTTTTTTTTTTTTTTTTGTGTGTGTCTTAAACCACCACTACCTTTCTCATATGTGGGGCCGCGGGCCTCAAATTCGGCTGCGACGCGCCCTCGTTGAAAAATATCAACGGTGGCGCAGTGGCTATTTTTCAGGAGTAGGCTACTAGATGCCCGCGGCCGACGTATGGGAAAGGTAGCGGTGGTTTAGCGAACAAAACTTTGTATTGATCATGGTGGAAACCGGGTCTGGCGTCCCTTACATCATGAGTAGCAGCACTGCACTTCTCCCTGTTATGGTTGAGAGATCCTGAGACATCTGCATTGGGAACTGCCTTAATTAAAAAAAAATAAAGAAAAAAATAGAAGGATTTACCAGTGCTCTAACCGTGCTTTTCCCTTAACTCGAGAGATCCTTAGACAGCAGCATTGATTACTTCCCCAATTGGGAGGATTCACCACCGCTTTAACCCTGCTTGTTTTTTTTTTTTGTTTTTTAAACTTTTTTTGCTTTTTTGCTTTTTTGCTCTGACCAGTGACCTCGCTTTTCTCGTACTTTCTGCATTTATCGTGACAGCATTGATTGCTTCCTTTTGGAAGGATTGACTGTCTGGAAATATTTTATTATCTTTCTAGTAGTTTCTATCCTTCAATATCGGCGTGTTTCCTTTTTTCCTTTTTTTTGGGGCCTGCCTATACCTCGGCCCGCACAACCTTTATATACATATATATAGTCGGTGAAACTCCGACGAAACAGTTTGTCACAGCCCCTCGTTTGTTGTCCTCTTCTCTCTCTCTGCCTACGGTTTTACCGGGCAGTCCTGTTTGTGACGATATATATATATATATATATATATATATACTATTTGACGATATATATATATACGATATATATATATATATATATATATTGGCTCATTTCCGGACTCCCTCGACTTCAAAAAATCCCTGATGCTGGCAGAGTAGCCTATTGTACAAATTTTGTACCCCGAATGCAGAACTGTTGGTAGGTTGGTAGGTTTATTGTTGTAGCCCAGTAATCGATCAGCAGCCAGACGGAATTCCGCAGGCAAACGGAATCGAACCGGTGACCTCGGCTGTAGCAGCCGGATGCGTCTGCCACTGCAACGGTGACCCTGTGTTCAAAACTGAAGCCGTACCGGTCGTGACATTCAGCCCACCCCAGCATGGTTGCAGCGAGGACTCATATCGTCAACGCAGGACATCCGTGAGATCTTCGCAGGCAGCAGCATCCATGCAGAATCCAAGACCGTCAGTAGTTGCCGACCAGCATCCCGCACACCAGAGTCCAGGTGAAAGTGGACGGTCTGCTACTCTTTTCCTAGAAGTCTCTTTGCTAAGTGCCTCTTTACCTAAGGTCTGGGTTCATTTTTTTTTGTTTTTATTCCCTGACCATTTCTCGGTTTATGCGTGATTTATGCATGTCATCCTTGTGCAGGGGCCACGCTAATCTTCTCTCTATCATTCCAGTTTCCCAAGGACAGGTCTGGGTGCTTCTTGAGTGGGGGGACTTCAGGTTAAAAAATTGGTCTTCTAGCTCTACTGGACTCTGCTTAAACCACCAGTACACGGCCCCAGCCTTGCCGAAAAGAAATTTGTTGCCTGTCCAAAAAAGTCGGGGCCTGGCCGCCACTGATAAATTCCATCAGCGGTCTCCTATACGGTGGATTCCTGATTCATAGCTAGTCAAAAAAAGACATAAAAATAATCATATTCGACAGGTAACTGAATTGGTTGGGCTTAAAAGAATTGGCCTTTTGTTTTTGTACGTTAAAAAGAAACATGAATAGACTAGAATAGTCGTATTCTTGAAGAGTTTCCATACTATGTTTTATCCCCTGTTTGAGTTTCTGTGAATTTTTATTTTTTATTTTTTATTTAAGGCCAACCAATTCCAGTAGCTGTCAAATCTGGACAGGACGGCCTTTCAGGCCTGTTTTCATTTTGATAGGGGCCCGCGGCTGATGTTTGTCGTGTACTGGTGTATTTATTGCGCTATTACCCCTGGTAGGTGAGGGGTTTTGCATGGGCAACTTTGCACAGTGCTCCCCCCGGAGACCTTGGGCCTCACCACACGGAATGGGGGAAAAAAGAAAAATGAGTGCATCTTCACACACAAAGTGGAAAGATTCATCTGTTACTACCACAAATAGTAATGAATGTATATCTTGCATCTTTCTGGGGGCGCAGATGCACACATGTTCTTGTCCATTTCGTGTGCCGGGGTAAATAAATAAGGAGTAAGAATCAATCGTCACGGTCGGGGTTCAACTGGCAAGGCCCCTGATCTCCAAAGCATGACAAAACAATGTCATTTTCGCATTCTTCTGACGTACGTTGTGCTTTTGCAGGGTGCTTGTTGTAGATCAAGGCATCTTTTCGACTGGTCACTTTTTTTCATTTCTTTGTCGTCTAGTGTTCCTTGGAAATGCCAATGGGTATGTTTTGTCAGCTTTGCATAGAAAGCTGTTTGTCATGGAACGAGAGGGATGCAATCAAACCCACTCCACTGGAAGACCTGATCGGAAACACATCTGCCCAGCTTTGCAAGTCCTAAAACAACTTCACTGTCAATCTCTTCTGCCCTATGTTTTCTGATTCACGTTGTGCGTTTGCTGCGTGCTTGTCACAGGTGAACGCATCTTTGTGACGAGTCGTTGTTTCGGCTGCTTTGTGGTGGGGAAGGGCGTTGAGGCAGAGGGAGGGCGTGCAGGATGTGTGGAGGGACAACCTTTGGAAGCTAGATTGGTTTGGCTTGCTGAATTGCACTTGCGCTTGTAAATATAACTTGGATGTTGACATGGAACCGGGTTGATGGTCCTGGTCCCAAAGAACTGGGTCGACGGTCCTGGTCCCAAAGAACTGGGTTGGCGGTCCTGGTCCCAAAGAACCAGGTTGACTGTCGTGGTCCCAAAGCACCGGGGTGACCGTCCTGGTCCCAAAGAACTGGGTTGACGGTCCTGGTCCCAAAGAACCGGGTTGATGGTCCTGGTCCCAAAGAGCCGGGTCGATGGTCCTGGTCCCAAAGAACTGGGTTGGCGGTCCTGGTCGTCCTGGTCCCAAAGCACTGGGGTGACCGTCCTGGTCCCAAAGCACCGGGTATTAAAGTTGCTAGGTAATCTGTAATCTGTAAGGGAGACGAAGGGGACTGTTGCAAGTGGCGGTTCTCGTTAGTCGGCGATTTTGATTGGTTGGATAACAAAGCTGACAAGTTCGGTGAAGTCGAAGGCGAAGTCATAGCAACCTTAGGCAGGCAGGCAGGCAGGCAGGTAGGCAGGCATGGAGAAGAACGCTGATATGGAGATAGAGGTAAGATTAGCAGGGGAGGGGAAGGAATGTGAGGAGGCAACGGATTGTGCAGAAGGAAGGCGATCGGAAGAACGTTTGAAGAGAAACAGGAGGGATAATGATAGTGCAGCATTGGGATGGCGCTCTGCACAAAGCGTAGCGTCCACGAAGAGAGCAACTGGAGAAGGCTCCATTGGGAGAACATCACCTACTTCATCTTCCGGGGGCGACTTGTGTATCACTGACAATGGGAATGTACATAGTGAGCGTGAAGAGCACGGACAGGGGGGTGGTGGTAATGGTAGCCATGAGGATGCTGAAGACGATGATGATGGTGGTGACGATTGGGAATCCACTCCTGCAACTGGAGCTTTGGCAAGTCAGTCAAAATGGGCCGATATTCCAGGTGAACTGTTGATGAGGATCATGAACCATGTAGATCATCGTACGCTGTTGATTGCCTCTGGAGTTTGCACCGGTTGGAGAGATTCACTCTCTGCTGGCATCCTCGAGTTCTCTTTTTCTTGGTAAGACCCTCTGCCCATCCTTTTCTCTCCCCTTCTTAGCTTGGTTGCTTGGTTTGTTTGTTTGTTTGTTTGTTTGTTTGTTTGTTTGTTTGTTTGTGTGTGTGTGTGTGTGTGTGTGTGTGTGTGTGTGTGTGTGTGTGTGTGTGTGTGTGTGAGAGAGAGAGAGAGAGAGATTCACTGTCTGCTGGCAGTCCTCGAGTTCTCTTTCTCTTGGTAAGACCCTCGGGCCATCCTTTTTTCTCTTCCCTTGTTTGGTTTTGTTCGTGTGTGTGTTGTAGATTGACACCTCGACAGCCCCTGTTCCACTCAGACGAGTAGATCCAAAATCGATGCAGCTTTACCTTACTGCAGACAATGGAGCACACTAATGATGAGCCAATCCAACAATGAAACTGTTTGACCTCCATAGCAAGCAGCAACATGAACCGCGTGTGCATGTGTGTGTGTGTGTGTGTGTGTGTGTGTGTGTGTGTGTGTGTGTGTGTGTGTGTGTGTGTGCACGTGTTTGTGTGTGCGCGGATGTCATGTTTGCAGCGGTATGCAACCTCAGCTGTGTCAGTGGAGACGGTTGTGTCCACTAGAATCTCATATGCTCAATGTGTCTCTGTCTGTCAGTCTTTGCCCATGTCTCCCTGCCTGCCTGTTTGTCTGTCCGTCTGCCTTTCCACACACCCAAACCCTCTCCAGTCTTTCGCCAGCCCAGACGCATGGACGGACACCTGCATGAACAGAAACCTGGTCTGTCTGTATGAGTGTTCATCTTCTCTTTTCTCTCATCTCTTTCTCTTCTCTTCTCCTCTTCTCCTCTCTTCGCTTCTCTCCTCTCCTCTCCTCTCCTCTCCTCTCCTCTCCTCTCCTCTCTTCTCTCTTCTCTCTTCTCCTCTCTTCGCGTCTCTTGTCGTCTCTTCGCTTCGATTCTCTTCTCTTCTCTTCGCTCCTCTCCTCTCCTCGCCTCTCCTCTCCTTTCTTCTCCTTTGTACGTGTGTTGTGAGCACATAACATATTGTGACTGTGTTGGCAATTAGCCAAAGTGTGGACTGGCAGTCTTACTTGACCAGGGGAGTTTTTACAGAGTGCTCACCAGATGAGGTGGATATTGGGTGTCGTTCCTCTGCGCAACAGTCTACATGCATTTGGACTTTTCAAACATTTCGAATGTATCCAGTCCAGAAAGTGCCCAGAGGCATGTGGACTAAAATGTATCGGAGCGAGGCCCGTTGCACGTAATTTCAGCGATTGATACCAACGGGCCTATCTTCTTCGTTCACCTGAATAGAATATGCGGCCATTTTCATCGTGTCTGAAAGGTGAGCCAAGTACGGCTGACATCGGCTGTAATGACTGTACATTCTGTGCGGGGGAAGATGTAGCTCAGTCGCTACACCCATGAGCTGTCGCAATGTAGACCTCAAGAGGAGTAAAACAACTCCGAGTTCACCTGGGGCTGGTTGGTCAGTTCGAAAATTCGAACATGATATAGTAAGGCCGTCAAAAAAAAGGTTAAAAAAAACAAAAAAGAAACAAAGAAACTGCAAGGAAAATGACCAAAATTCGAACATGATATAGTAAGGCCGTCAAAAAAGAAGTTAAAAAAACAAAAAAGAAACAAAGAAACTGCAAGGAAAATGACCAAAATTCGAACATGATATAGTAAGGCCGTCAAAAAAAAAGTTAAAAAAACAAAAAAGAAACAAAGAAACTGCAAGGAAGATGACCAATAGCGCGAAATGACAGAACTGCAGATTGGAAAGTCACATTGAATGCCAGATAGTCGTAAGCTGTCCAGAAAGCAGAAATGCGCTGAAATCGCACTGAAGGAGAACCAAAGCAGCGAATTCAATTGTCAATGAGAGCCCTCTCTCCGCCACCACCAATAATGTACTCGAAGCTCTCCCTCCTATCGGCGCTCAGCGACCAGACTACGATCACACAGCTACTGTGCTATTCTAACAAAATGACAAAGCAACCAGTTGTTGTCAGCGGCAGCAACGGAAGTACATGCAGATGTCGACCATGCAGACCTCCGACAGGACCAGGTACGTGCTCTCACATCACTTCCCTCTTCACCTCTTACTGCCCCCCTTGTCTCTCCTCCCACGGCTCATCACCATCCCCAACGACCACCGCCAATTCCCCCAGGCCCAGCTATGGAGGCCCAGGCTATGTTGCTGCTCCCTTGCACCGCCCAACAACACTCCACGCCCGTGCGCGTGTCAAGCACTAGTGCTAGCTAGCAGGCGCGAGCAATTACTCCAGCAGCGCTGTTGCTTGCACATTCAAGTGCCCGAATACCCGACTCCCGGCCAGGCACTTTGCTATATGTGAAGTGGCCTGGCTCTATGGCAGCCTGGCCTGGCCTGGCCTCGCGTGTGCCCAGTAGCTTCAGGTTGGGCCAAAGTGTTTGTGCCCAGGCCCATTCAGACAGTGGCCTGGGACCGAATTGGTTAGGCCTGCCCAACTATCCAAGCGCAAACCTGAGGTGTTCCCGGCTTCCATTGCGTTACCAGAAGAGCGTGGAAGGCTGATGAATGTTTCTGATTTTCACGAGCAGGGCGGATGTAACCAACTGGCGCATGCCAACTGCCTGGCGCCCACCAAGGCTTTGGCAAATTGACAAATTCAGGCCTCGTTGCGATTCGGGGGACTGCCTTCACTTAGGGAGGGCGCATGTTTACTGTAGGGGCCACATGCAGGTTGAGGGCTTAAAATCCTCGCAAAACAAAGAAAAAGTTTACACCACCAGTACCTTTGTCGGTTCGAAAATACTCGGCCTCCGACCATTCAGGAGGCCGAAACGAAACGACGGCCGCCGATCAGATTGATCAACGTCGGGCTCGGCCTCCTGAAAGTTCGGGTACTGGCCAGGACTTGTCGAAACCGGACGCCAAAGGTACTGGCGAGAAAAAAAAAAAAAAAAGGCTGTTGCCTCTTTTTGAAAGAGGAGTTTTAGCAACTTCAGCAACTGATCGATGCTAATGCGTACGGGCATGATGCTGCTTCCGGTCTTCACGCTGTCAGTCCCAACTCCCGGTCCCGCAGTCCCAATTGGACCCGGTCCCCGGCTGTCCCAGTAGGGCGAGTTCTAGGGTCAGTAGACCGAAATGTTGTGGGTCGGTAGGAGTTGGGTGCCGAAGTGTTGTCCACCACGTAGCTGCGTCCCAAGAAAGTCCGGAGACTTCCAGAGCACCGAGAACTGCAACGGAGTCGGCGGGCGGCTGTTCCCATTCCGAAGCTGGCACATGCAGTCAACTGCAGCTATTAATAGCTGCTACAGTGTCAAGGTCGACAGATTGTTCATTCGCGAAGTCGCGGAAGCGCTGCTGGTTGCTTGCGCGATCGCGCAAGCTGGACAGAGGGAGGTGCTGGAGAGAAGCAATCGCCCTGGGGAGAAGAAGTCAACCATAGTTAGGGTTAGGGAGGAGGAAGACGGCCTATGGAGTTCGATAGGGTCTAGCTGCCGTCTTTCCCCAAACGCAACGCACCCCGCTTAGGGACGTGTAGAAGCTATCTTTTGAGTTGAGTTCGACAGGGTCTAGCCACCGTCTTCCCCCAAATGCAACAGGGTCTAGCTATGGTCTTCCCCCAAACGCAATGCACCCTGATTAGGAACATGTTGACAGGGTCTAGCTACGGTCTTCCCCCAAACGCAACGCGCCCTGATTAGGAACGTGTAGAAGCTATCTTTTGATTTCGACAGGGTCATGATGAGGGTGCGTTATGTTCGCGGGAAGTCGGTAGATCCATTTGTCAGATCGGGCCGGGATCGGGCCGGGTTGTACGGAAGGGTGGCCGCCATTCGTCACCGGCGGGTCCACTCCCGGCATTTGAAAGCCGCGACTTTGCCGATTTTTCGTGCTCAAAAGAATTGTTGAAAATTTCTGAAAATTTGAGGGTTCGTAGATTGGGTCATGATCTTTCCAGGAAAAATATCAGAATGAATAAATAAAATCATTTTTACCGTGAAATAATTGCCGCGCCGATTCGGTGTATTTCAACTTTTTTAATGCAAATTCCATTTTTGCCATTCACCCGGTTTTCCACTCTGTGCTACCGGTACCCCTCATGAAAAAGCGCTACCGGTAGGAGGAGGTCTTTTGCGCCGGGGGGAGTGGTGGTTTAAGTGGGGTGAGTACTGGTGTATTACTGTATTAGCATGACTTGTTTCCAGCCTGACCAAAATGTGTGACCACTAGACATATTCCGTGCTGAAATTTTTTTTTCCTTCCTGTGCTGATCTGACCTTGGTTGGTTCAACTCTATGCAGATGTGAAACCGCTCAGCTTCATTGCTATTGCCCACAGTGATGTGAAATCAGGAATGTTCAGTCGGTGTGGCGAGCTTTCGGCTGTGGGTTATACGAACTTCGGTTACTGTGGGTTAAGGCTGTGCGGATAACTGCCTTCTTCCGCGGAATGGAACCTACGGTCATTATACCTGTATTTGGGGAAACTTTCCAGTCCACATACAGGGACAATGACCGTAGGTTCTGTTCAGGGGAAGAAGGTAGGTAGGGAGTTCCGCTTGTCCTTTTGTTTTTCTTAAACAACACCGAGTCTATTAGTGGGGAGCCTGACATTTGACTGAGGGGATGCATCTCGATTCTAGACCCATATTTTACCCTGCTGGTGGCTTGTGTGGGCTTTCGATTGGGTTCGTGATTATGATAAAGAGTACCGGACAGCTAAATCTGGGGACATGATGCTAAATGTAAAAGGTCTGATGGCAAGAAAACAGAGAACAGGAAAGTGTAATTTTGGCCTATAGGCGGGAAATTGGGAATTCTTCCTTTTTTTTCTTTTTTTTTCCTTATGATTTCTCGATTTATGCATGTTATCCTTGTGTCGGGAGTACGCTAATCTTCGCCGCATGGTTCCATTTTATTTTATTTTTTTGCCCCCGAAATAGAACCTCAGGGTTCTGGCTCCGTATCCATTCTGGGGAGCAGCAGTCCAGTTCCTATTCCCCCGGCAAGTCAAAAAAAAAAAAAAAAAAAAAAAAAAAAAAAAAAAAAAAGAAGAAGAAGAAGAAGAAGAAGAAGATACAACAGTTATGTTCCGTTTTTATTTTCATTTTTCTCCCCCCCTTTTTTTTTTCAAAAAGGCGATGTCGAGATGGCCTCGAGATATTATCATGGAACTGACCGCCTAATTCAGAATTATGTTATTTGAACTTATTTTGTTAATCTGACTGCACCTGGGTGCGAACTTGGGTCTGATTCATATTTCAAGTTTTCAACAGTTCGTGGGTGTACCAACTCAGCTAGGCCCATTGGTACAATTCCAATTTGGCTGACGTTTCGAAGGACTAATCGGTGGGAGGTGTCTTCGACTGATGGCATGCAGCTTGGTCCTCCTCCCGCTTCTGGCTGGCAATTTGGCTGTTGGCTATGTGGCTTAGCCAATAGCCAAATTGACTTGTGACTGTTGTGAAGACAAGGTGGTTTGCTGTTACGGACTCCGCCAGGGCTCGATCCCTGGTCTATCTTTTTGCTGTTTCGGCTGCATCCCGTTTTTGACCTGGCACCCTTTTTCCAAACCCCTCCTTTGGTACCGTAGGATTTTGGACAACTGGCGCCATGCTGCAATTTGGGCGCCACTTTCAAATACCGCGTTTTTCAGTTCTGCCCTCGGGGCCTTTGCAGGAATGCCCCTGGTACCGTATGTGTCACCGGTACTTATACCGGCTCCCTGTACGATACGGGGACCAGTCTCGTACCAGTTTCCAGCTGCTGTACTCGTACTCAGTGTGACTTGCTGTTTCAGCATTCGGGAATCCAAGACTTCGACTTTGTGCCCTTGCCACTGTGTCTGTGTCCTGTGTCCGACCCTCAGTCGTGTCGAGTGAGTGAGTGTGTGTGTGTGCTCTCACTCTCTCCCTCGCTCTCTCTCCCTCTCTCTCTCCTCTCCCTCGGCTCTCAAAAGTGGTGCTGCGGGTAGAGTACAACCGTACTATAACAGAGTACAACAGGGATCACAACCTCCGTACAACGGAGTACCACGCCTGTACAAAGAAATCAATTTTTAATTTTTTTTTTGTACATGAGGCATGCCAAGGGGTAGGTAGCGTTTCAGTTGACTGATGGGGGAATGGATTTTGGTCTTTGTGTTCTTCGTGCTGTCTATATGTTCGGTGTTGTGACAGGTGTAAGGACGAGGTGGTTGGCAAGCTCATTAGATCAATTGCGCACAAACTCCAAAACCTCGAATGCTTAGACATGCGTCGGTGTCCGTCTGTTAACGACAGTTCGATTGAGGCTGTTGCACAGTACTGCTCTGAGCTTCGTGTGTTGGATCTCTCTGGTGCGAAATTCACTGATAAAGCTCTGTTTGCGTTAGCCAATGGATGCCCGCATCTGACTCTCCTGGATGTCAGTGGGTGCCTGAACATCGGTGAGGATGGTGTTATAGCGCTGGCAATGGGATGCAGGGGCCTCGTCTCTCTCAATCTCTGTGGCTGTGAGCGAGGGGGTACTGACAAATCCTTAAAGGTGAGTGACTGTGTGAGTGATAAGGGGAGGCCACCCCTTGCAACGTTCCCAAGCTGGCAAACTCACCCAGTAGGTCTGTCTGTCTGTCAGTCTTTGCCCGTGTCTCCCTGCCTGCCTGTCTGTCCGTCCGTCTGCCTTTACGGTCCTTCTGGGTGCCATTGCACCCAGAAGTCTTGGTAGGGCTAACAAAAATGAAATAAAGGTAATACAGTAGGCAATGTGGTAAAACAGAAGAACTAGTTTTTCGTTCGAGAGTCTGTAGATCTCAATCCAAGAGTCAAGGATTTTTCACTTTCGTGCCGGCCCTTTATTACATGTGTATATGTTTCCCCTGATTTTGCCCCCTCCCCCAACCTCTCTCTCCCTTTCTCTCTCTCTCTCTCTCTCTCTCTCTCTCTCTCTCTCTCTCTCTCTCTCTCTCTCTCTAGATTCAAAAGCTTTCAAAGTTTCTTGTTTGAAATAATCGAAACACATCAAAATGGTGCTGGCAGTACCAAACAATAGAAAGATTTTACAAAAATAGGTCTCTCTCTCTCTCTCTCTCTCTCTCTCTCTCTCTCTCTCTCTNCTCTCTCTCTCTCTCTCTCTCTCTCTCTCTCTCTCTGTGTGTGTGTGTGTGTGTGTGTGTGTGTGTGTGTGTGTGTGTGTGTGCAATGATGTGTGTGAAACACATATTTGAGTAGCCCCAGCAAGGTAAAGACCGCACACCATACCATTGCAACCCCACAGGAGGAGAATATGCATCTCGGTGCAGTCGAGGCACAAGGCAGGCAAAAGACTATAAACCGCAGAAAAGAAATGGACAGGCAATAAGTAGCAAGGCAACACATAGGTTGGAAGGCACAGGGGAGGCAGGAGGGCACACAACATACAAGCAGAAAAAAAAGGGAAAAGACAACTACTGGCAAGCAAGAAAAAGTACAAGTCCCAGGTAAAATACAAAGTGGTGATGAAACATTGTTTCATTGGAGTTGCACTGAGTCATCAGGAGGCTGAACCCTCGACAATCTGTGGAGTCCCCATATTGATGCTTTGGGTCATGAACCCTTTTACCCTTGTTGAAAGCAGACTGCCAGCAGTCAACATCTCAAGCAGCGCATAGCAGCAGGCAACGACTTCGTGAAGCACCAGGCATGCAACGCTGCCGGGGCAACCCAGCTGCGCTGTCTAAAAGATCGTCTATCCTTGGCAATGGCTCAGCGTTCTTTATCGTCATAACATCGAGTCCCCTATAATCTATACACATTCCCAGTTCGCCGCCCTTCTTTGGCACAAAAAGAACCGGTGCACTGAACGGTGAGGAGCTTGGTCTAATCCACCCCTTCTCAATCAACTCATCCAGTTGCTTCCGCAGTTCGTCGAGCTCTTTTGGGGACATCCTATAGATGGGGCCCTTGGGGATTCAGCTACCGGGTTCCAACTCTATCCGGTGCTTGGTCTCTCTCTCAACCACCCCACTTGGGGCCTCTCCGACATCTGAGAACTCAGCAAGCAATTTCTGCACATTGGGGGGCATTGACTCTTCCTCTTTTCTGCACTCACGGGACGCACATAAGCAACAAACACTTGGTAGGCGAGGTCATTCTTGACCACATGCCGGGCGAACGCGGGGCACTCATGCAGCAAAGTGACAGGCTATTTTCCACGCAGGATGCATGGAACAAACACTTTCTTCTTCCCACCTAGGGGACTAGGCAAACAGCACTCATGCTCACCCAATTTTATGTTTGCATCCTCTGCCTTGCCTCGATCAGTCTCTAAGATCATGTCAAAAGGGAGGCTGTCCTCCACTAAGAGTGTCAGGGAGTGCAGAACACGTTCTACCTTATCCCATCCCTCCAACCGGAAGTATGCGCGAACCCCTTCAACATAACTATCTACTATCTCCCTGTTATCCGTTAACTTACTCGCAACGGGTTGGTCTTAACTTCTGGACCTTCAGCCCTAGGTGCATCTTCTACAACCCTTTCTTGTTGATATAAGTTCGCGTTGACCCGCTATCTATTAACGCGCCCACTTTTACTCTACTGACCTCTACGTCTGCTATTAGCAATTGCCCTTTCTTTTTCTTCATCTCGGCCCAAGCGCGGCGACGAGTGATCAGTTCATCACCTATGCTTGCGAGGGGACCACCTAGAGAGGTCCTAACACAAGCAACCTCTGGGTAGCTGACTAGGTGGGGGCCTTCTACCGTTTGTCTCTGCCATTGGGACCTCTGGATGGGAGGATGACAGTTTGTTTGCATCCAAAGTCCCTGTAGAGGCAACTGCTACCTCTACTGGCTGTTCCCTTTTGGGTACCGATACTCGGGACAGAAGGGAACAATGTGGTCGGGGTCACCACATTTGAAACACTGGCCGGCTGCCTTACGGTCATCCCAAGTCTTCTCATCAATCCCCATTTGTACCCAAGCTTTGCCAACAGCAATCCCGAGATGGGGTGGATATGGTCGTCACTTGTTGTTTCCTCTACCTCTACCCCCTGTGGAGTAGGAACCTCTTCCACCTTGCGAGGGACCATTACCCCTACCTCCCGTGTAGTAGCTACCTTCGCAACCTCTAGGCGGCGGGTCCTCTTCCTCCACCTCGGCCGCGACGCCCCCTTCCTCTACCACGGCCTCGTCCTCCCTGTCGCCCTCCCCCGCGGGTGGCAACAGCTGCATAATCCACTCCCTGGGCTAAGTGACTGTTGCTATCTTCGTCAGCCCATAGTCTATTTGGTCGTAGGTTAGTGACTCGACAGCTCCTTCCTCAAAGGTGACGAGTTAGTTATCTTTCCCTACTATATTACCGGAGATCGTCCGATCTCTCCACTTCTTTCCCGCTGCGGGTCCTTCCAATAATGGCAATATTGTGCCTCCTGCAAGAAGCCAGCATGATCCACGACGATCTTGCTGAACTTCTCGTAGGCCATTCCCTCTTCCTTCGTGTGGGGATATAACTGAGTTCTTAGGGGATCTGGGAGCGCCCTAGCAAAGTTATTCAGAATCTGCGCAAAGGTCAGTCCGTGGTCTAGACATTGCAGTAACTCATCAATGGTGGCCTTGAGTGTTGACACACTCTTCCACTTGCTGTTACTAATGTTGAGGATCATGGACTCTGTCGTATGGACCAGGTTTTTGACCTCAACCTTTCTCTCAGGGCCTTGAAGAAATCTTCTATGCGCATCTTTTGCGAATACTGAACCATGGACGTACAGCCGACCTCTTTCATTAGAGAGATAGCAAAGCTAATTGCATCACCTGACAGACACGAACTCGCCATTAGCACACGGTCCCAGTATGGTATTTTCTGTGCATACAGGTAAGTGTCCATTGCTACTTCCCAGTGGAAAATACTTTCTTCCTTCTTCCCCGTATATGTCCAGGGTATCTTTACCTTCATCTTTTGCCTGGACTCCGCAGCATCTTGGTCTCCCTTCGTCCCGGGACCTTTTCGCTTCTTGTCTCCATCATCACCATCATCTCCTCCATCTCCTCCCCGGCCTACAGCCCTCAAATGTCTAACTACGGCAGGGTAGGTCAGCTTCTTGACAAGGGCTTTGTCTAGCTGCTTTACGTACCAGAGGATACAGTCATCTATTTGGTGGGAGGCTGCACTCAGGAAGTTATTCCAGTTTCCTTCAAACTCTCCCTGATGGAATTCCAGTTAACTGACGGATCGATGGAGGGCAGCGAGTTCCTCGTTAGTATGGAGGAGGGTGTCAGTGAAGAGGGCTAATCGTTCGTCTGTGGTAGCTTGCTTACCCTTTTGCTCCTCCAATATCGCTTGCAACCGCTCCCCCTCCTCCATCTTTTTTTTTTTCATTATATTCTTGCCTTCTCATAACCACCAGCTTACAGCCACCAGCTTGTTATCGAGCTCCGCTCTCTTCTCCTCCAGCAGGAAGTCTTTCTCTTCCTGGTCTGCTACCGATGCCAGCTTATTCATAAAAGCATCTTTCTCCTCCTCACTCTCTTCCGGCATCTCCGTCTGATACCTGAACTGTCCCATCCAGTCTATCGCCTCCATTTGCAACAGTTGGATTGTCCCAGCGTGGCTGCTTTCAGCCTTCTCTTCTGTCTGCTGGGGTCTCCTTCCTTCCAACCTCTCACCTTCTTCTTCTTCTTCTTCTTCTTCTTCTTCTTCTTCTTCTAGTTCCTCCAGCAACTTCTTCTCCTTCTCCTTCATCTCCTTCGCCATCTTTTCTTTGTCTTCTAACAACTTCTTCTTCACTTCCTCCTCCTTCCTTTTCTTTTCCTCCTCTTTCTTCTTTTCTGCCGGGCGGCGGTCTATCTCTGCCTGCTCTTCAGCTGTTTGTGCCTGTGTTGACTTCCCAGACCTTAGCACCACATGTGAGAAGAGGGTTCGCTGGAAACCAAGAGGAAATATAAACCGAAGAAGGGGTCCCCATAGCACGGACAGGGACAGAAGTGTGAACATGGGATAGTCATCCATGGTGATGAAAGGCTCATGTAAGTTTCCTCCACATCCTCACCACTTAGACCTACCCCCTACCACTGATTACTAACTCTTGAGTGGGTCTGACGTTAGCTGACTGCCGAACATCTTTCTCACAGTGTCTGCTGCCTGCTTCTCAAAACTAATATACATATATATTCTGTTTCTCGATGCTGACTGGTTGCTAACCTCAAAGCAAATCGACTGGCTTATAAATAGTAATATGAGGTGATAATGGTCGATTGATTTTCATGTCAATTTACTCTGATTTTGACTCAAGGTGACAGGATTCAAACCTATGACCCTCTGTACCCAAAACAGATGCGCTACCAGACTGCGCTACACCTTGTTATGTTCAATTGGTAATTCAACTAGCTGACTAACTAAGATGTGTGTCACAAGAATTGGACCAGCCCAGCAGCAGTGACACCAGGATGTGGAAGGTACCAAACACCAAGACAGTTCAGCAAGCAATACAGAGCTTAGGTAGGGAATGCACTTCACTTCAGTGAACATTCCATTGATGAAGCTCCACGATCGCTCCAACGCTCCAACGCAGCA